GATAGCATCACTGGCTTTCTGAGAAGAGGATGTGAGGCTCCGGCTGGTATGCTCCCCTTCCCTTTCTTGTGTGCTATGACCTTCTACTATCAGATAACGCAACTAGAAGGCACTTGGCAGATGCTCTTGGATTCCCTGATTCAAGAACTATGAGACAAATAAACCACCGTTCTTTATAAACTGCCCAGGCTTGGGTATTGTGTTACAGCGACCTGATGGCCTGACAGTGTGGCCTCAGTTCTTATTAGTTTTTATTATTTAAATCTTTTATCATTACTCTCTCTGTGTGTGTGTGTGTGTGTGCGCGCGCGTGCAGGTATGTATGGTTGTACAGGCACACATGTACTTGGAGGGGAGCTCTTCTGCCACATGGATCCCACCACTGACAATGGTTATCAGGGTTTGTAGCATGCATCTTGCTTTGCAGAGGTATCGCATTATCTCCACTTCCTTTCAATGAGCCATTTTGAAGTCTTCAAAGGAAATCCATTCTGGAGTTGGAGCAATGGCTCAGTGGGTAAGAGCCAGCACTGCTGTTGCAGAGGCTCTGACTTCAGTTCCTGATACCATGTTAGAAGGCTCACAACCATTTGTAATTGCAGCTCTAGAGGATCTGATGCCCTCTTTTGGTTACTACCAATACTTATAATAGCGTTCGAGTACACACACACACACACACACACACACACACACACACCTAATATATACTTTAAAAATAGAATCTTAAAAAAAAATCTTTTTTTTTTTGGAAGACAGGACAGTGGTCTCGTTAGCTGGCAAGTGACTTGGAATGATAGACAGTGGAACCACTAATCAGTGATTAATGGGGCACTATCAAAGTTGGGCACATAATATGGCTTTTACTTTCCAGTGAGGCCAGAAGGGTGAGGATGTGGGACCCAGCAGGACCCAGCTGTAGCTCACATCTGCCTCTCTCCCTTCCAGGTGCCGAACCAAAGGATTAAGAGCAGCTGATAAGGCACCAGGCACAAACATTCTTTAAACCAGACACCTAGGAATTAAATAAGTTTGACATTGGTGCAAAAGATGAAGTAAAGCCCAAAGAAGGGACGGCTACCTTGGGCAGAAGATGGAGTTACTCAAGAAACATGGAGGAGATGTTCAGAGAAGCCTCTCAAACCAGGACAAATGATCACCGACCAGAAGTTGGCCAGTCTCTTCACTGGACAAGGGCATCTACAGAAGGAGCTAACGGAGGTGAAGCTCAGCCTGTGCTCTGTTTTCTAAGCCGTGCTCCCTGCTGTGGGCTTCATCTGCTGAGAACTGGGGATGCCTTTTCTAATTTGCACAAAGTCACTGCACGCATGTACAGTGGTCCCAAGAAAGCCTTTGTGTTGCTATGTACATATAATCTGCAGATATGACCTCTTCTTGGACAGAGAAGAAAAATATGATCTCTCTTTGGTGTAAGGTAGTGACACCCAAATGGGGGACCCCAACAGGTGTCTGAGAGGCCAGCCCTTCATGGGAGGTTGTTTGTTTGTGGTAAACACATCCTTTAGGAGAAGCTGGTCAGATACTTCTGGCTTAGATAGTCTTGTTTTTACAAGCTCCACAGACAATCAGCCAGACACAGGAAACCAATTACTTTTATGTTTCAGGCACTAGATCAGGAAATAGGGTCGGACAAGGCTGCGAGGTGGGGTCAAATCTCCTTTTCCACTGTTGCTGTTACATAATGTTCTTATTGATCTGTGCTTAGAGTCAGCTATTAGGCCAGTGACTATAAATGTCCCGAAAGTTGGGAATAAGGAATAGAAAGCTTGGTAGGATAAGGATAGAAATGATTGGAAAATACTAATCCACGAAAGACTATCTACAGCAACAATAATCTGTACAACACGCTCAATGGCTCCTCTTCTTGAGAACTGTGGAGACACTGCAGGAATCCTACTTTTTAGAAGAGAAAGACAAGCGGCCTCCAAGAGTCCCTATGTGCTTTGTGTTAGCCTTTTCAAGATCTGTTGGTTTTTGAACTGTTTTTTTTTTTCCATCCAGTAGCTACAATTTTTTTCCTCTCTCTCATATGGGGGTGGAGCGCTTTCTGGCTTCCCTGTTCTTTTCTGATATATATTGTCTAATTATGTAGCTCATTAGTATTTGTGACTCTAGTCCCAAAAACCATCAAAGAGTGTTAAATAGAAACAGCCTCCCTGTTGGGCAGTGGTGACACAAGCCTTTAATCCCAGCACTTGGGAGGCAGAGGCAGGCAAATTTCTGAGTTCGAGGCCAGCCTGGTCTACAGAGTGAGTTCCAGGACAGCCAGGGCTACACAGAGAAACCGTGTCTCAAACAAACAAACAAACAAAACAAAACAAAAAAACAACAAAAAAAGAAAGACAAAAGAAAGAAACAGCCTCTCCCCAAGACCTGTTTTTAATTGTTTATTTCGAGTCAGGGTCTTACTGTGTAGCTTTGGCTAGACTCATAGACCAGATTGGGGTTGAACTCACAGAAATCTTCCTGCTTCTGTTTCTGCTTCTGTCTCCCAAGTGCTGGAGTTAAAGCCATGCACCACATCCAACTTGCTGAAAGTAGGGAACAAGACTTAAGGCTTCCACCCAACATCAGGTTTTTTTTTTTTTTTTTTTTTTTTCGTGCTCAGGGCTGAGTAAATTACTTGGGCATCACAATGATAATTAGACAAAGAGTAATTACTCAGTAATACCAATTTATGTATCTCCACTAGTGTCTCCTTGCAGTCTACAAGTTTTCAGGAATTATTAGAGGTCAGAGGTAAAGGAGGACACGGGGATAGAGAAATTAATCCAGTCTTTGTCTGAGCAGCCTTTCCTCTATAGTTATTTGCAGAGAGGGGGAAGATAACCCTTCAGAGGGCTGGAGAGATGGCTCAGTGGTTAAGAGAACTGACTGTACTTCCAGAGGTCCTGAGTTCAAATCCCAGCAACCACATGGTGGCTCACAACCATCTGTAATGAGATCTGATGCCCTCTTCTGGTGTGTCTGAAGACAGCTACAGTGTACTCATATATAATAAATAAATAAATCTTTGAAAAAAAAAGATTTATAAAAAAAAAGCCCTTCAGAAAACAGAGCTGTTCTGGAAAGATTCATCATTAAAGGGAAATAAGGAATGAAGAGGGAAATCACACACAGCAACCAGAGTGTAGCCTTTTGGTGACTCCCTTGCCAGCAGCTTTAACTGCATCCACAGATCCTGACGACAATAGTTAGAATTTAGGGGGAGGAGGAACGTGAGGAATCTTGGAAACTTGTTTCTGACAGTTTATCAATCCTGGGTTTGGACCACAGGGATACCATGGTCCTGGATCCTCTTACTCGGGTCTGTGTCAGGTACTAAGCAAAGCCCACATTACATCCAGAAGCATCTTTATTTATCCAAAGCTTCTCCACCAAGGCCAAGAAGGTCCTACACTGGACAAGGTTGTTTGTGTGGGGAGGATGACTGACTTGCTCCCACACTGTCTTTACACTACTCCCAGGACCTCTTTGCATGGAGTTGTCACCTGGGTGCCCCTTAAAAACTGGCAAGTTGTCACTGTTGAGTAACAATGTCCTTGAAGAGAACAATGACCGATCTATACCTGCCACTCATGTAACCTTTTCTCAAGCTGAACTCCCAACAAAAAGCACGGCTCCCTCTGGCCACGCCCACTGTGCCTCCCTGAGCTGTAACAAGTCAGGAAAGATGCGATCTACATCCCAAACCCTTCTGAAGCATGATTTTTGGATGCAGTTTAAAAGGAGAAATCGTTTGGTATTGAGGATTTCCACCACCGCATTTATCAATTTTAAGTGGTACCTTTTGGATTGAGAGTCTCTTGCAGGAAGAAGTCACATCCACAGGACCCATCAGTGTACCAGGCACATAGTGGGTGGTCAACAAATCTTTGTGTGAACCCTAGACATGTGATTCCTTCAAATACAACATTCTCAGACAACTGCCTATCTCTAGCCTGCAATGTATAAATAAATTTTTGCATACATAGACACAGAGGTATACACTGGCCATCTAGATTAGCATTACAAACATTAACCCAGGGCAATGGTCTCTCATTGCTTTGAGAACGCACCAGATCCATCCCGTGAATGCAGGCTGGATACAGACCATGATCAGAGGATGCCAGGTACCCTGATGCACCAGCTCTCAGGATTGAAGGAGAGTATTTCGGTCTAGAGAAACGAACAGAGACAGGACATGCACAGCAGTCCTTTTAGTCTTCCCCACATTCAACCAGGAGAACCACATGGGCAGCTCTAGGATTCTCCACCTCTGAGGCCGCCTTGTGACACGCACAACAGATCTCTTGAAGCAAGCACCTCCAAAGCTTGGCACACTGGCAGAGCCAGGCCACAGGCCACCCTCTGGCTTCTATGCTTCCTGATCAGCTCACTGACATTCTGCAAAGAACAACTCTCACTTCGGAGCCAACAGCTCACTTAACTAGGAGCCTCTTCACCAGCGTGTGCCCTGTGGTCTGGCGGGTCCTCACTCTTCCAATCAGAGGGCCAAACCAGAAGTCCTTCCTTGATTCCAAATGTGCTTTTTCTTCCTTTCCCAAGTCAGCGTTTGTATCTGACACTGTTAGGCAGGGTGTTCCTGCAGGGGACCTGGACAAGGGCATGCTGAGTCCTGAGTGCGTAAATACATGGCCAGGAGCACCCAGTTATTTTCTTCAATACTAAAGGATGGACGACTGACTGTCTGCTCTGGCTGGAGAAAGTAAGAATGTCTCCTCTTCCCCCTTTTAAAATCGAAAGCCCAGACTCTCCTTGGGGTGAGTCCTCTACCTGGACCCCTCAGCTGGAAGGGAAGGGGGAGTATTTTCGTTGGTCCCTAGCTCCCCAGGGACGCCGCCCAGCTCGCACTCACAGAGATGAGCCCAGGATGTGCAGCCAGACCCAGGGCGGCCCCGCCCCTACACGAACTTGACCGCACCCTCTTTCCCGGCGCGGCCAGGCCTGACGTCACAAGGCACCCAGCCGCCAGCACCCCGCGGTGCGCACCCTGCGCCCCGATCGGTCCCCGTTGTCGTCTCCGCTGCTCTCCCGGCGCTCACCGCCAGGCGCGCGCGCGCCCGCGTGCCCGCCCGCCTCCCTCCCTGTCCCCGTCCCCATCCCCGTCCCCGCCTGCAAAACACCGCTGAAGATGGCGAGCCCAGCGCCCGAGGAGCACGCCACCCAAGGATGCCCGGCTACGGAGGAGCAGCAGCCACGACCCGGGGTTCCCGGGGACGAGGCAGGGCCGGAGGGCGCGGGGCCGCAGGTGGAGGAGGCCGCCGGCAGGGTGGCCGCCGCCCTGACCTGGCTGCTCGGGGAGCCCGTGCTGTGGCTGGGCTGGCGCGCCGACGAGCTCCTGAGCTGGAAGAGGCCGCTGCGCAGCCTGCTCGCCTTCCTGGGTGCCAACCTGCTGTTCTGGTGAGCGCTCGGGCTGGGTGGGGGCGCCCCAGAGGGCAGGTGACCTTGGGGCGCCCATGGCCGGATGTGACCTGGCTGGGGAAGGGGGTGCGGCGGGGGGGGGGAACTGGGCGCCGCTGCGGTGGAAGTGACAGCCTGGTCCCACTTGCTTGGTCACCTGTCTGAAACAGGTAGTCACCCACTTCAACTTTCCTCCAGACGCACTTCCCTGTGAGTGGCTGTCACCCTTGCTGCGGGTGTCCAGTCTCCAAGGGGAGGTGATGGTCAGCTGACCCACGTGTGCTCCTGTATCTAGGGATGTTCCAGAGCTCTTGAAAACTTCAGCCCTGGTATTGTTAACTCTCAGGTCTTGACCTGTACTTTCAAGTATGGGCGTACAGAGGCCCGTGGGCTTGAATTAATTTTTGCACCTACGGAGGCGTATCTGGGCCACCTTTGGTACACTCTAAACACTGCTGCCTTCGTAGGCCACCAGAGATGGGCAGTGAATGATTTATTTTCTTTTCCCCTGGAGGGTAGGATTTACTGTCTTTGATCCCAGATGAGAAAGCAGGAGGTAAACAAACAGGTGGATGAGGTACATCGCCCCGCCCCAAGATTGCACAGCTGTGGGAGTGGGGTGGCGTGGAGGTGGGGTGGGGTGGGGGGTAGTAATTTCAGAGGAACTCCTGAGGGAATAGACGAGGGATTTTCTTTGAGTAGCCCCCAATCAACAGGTTTGCCTCACCAGAAAGTCTTCGTTCTGCTTAGGTAAGCATCAGGCAGTGTCTGGCTCCATCACGGGATGCCGAGCCTTAGCCTTATCGTCTGGTACTAGTTCATCAAGGGTGAAGAAAAACCTTTGTTTGCTAAGTGTCTTCATAACGTGCACGGCCCTCGAAGTACAGAATAAGCAGTTTCACTAACAAGTAACTATTTACAGGATGTAGATTTCTTAACCCCAAAGTTGGGAAATAAATAAACGCATAAAAAGAGACGTAGCCTGTTATTTTTTTTTTCTAGATTAATAACTTGAGCAACGTGAAGGATTTTCTTCAGATCCCTGCTGGTCTTGGTTTACTCTGAAAACGAGCTGTGTCTTGTTGCTGTCTGTGGATGTTAATTAACTTTGAGTCTCTCAGCATTGCTGTTTCTGGAGTTTATCCCAGGTCTCTATCCTGTTGTAAAGTTACCTTAGGCCTTAAATAAAGAGGTCATATCATGATGAACTAGGCTGGCCAAGACACCAAGTCTCAGGGCTGTATCTCAATTATTTACTAATAAGCAGCGTGTTTTAGATTTTAAAGTTTTATTTACTTAAAACCACCACAGTTCTAAAGCTTGAAGGTACAAAAAAATGTAAACACTTTGAAAATCTCCCTTTGAAAATCTCTTTCCCACGCCCATCACAGCTTCCTCTCAGAGGCCACATGGGCTGCTAGCTCTCTGAGGTTTTTTGTTTTTTGTTTTTGTTTTTTTCTCTCTTTCGGATGGTGCCTGTTTCAGCAGAAGTTCTCTGTGTTGTGTAGACTGTGGGCTGGCATAGTAAGGATTCCTTGTTTAAGGGTGGGTGCCTTGTTGATGACTCCTTGTTTTGTCAATGCATAGAATTCCTTCCCAACAGCATTGACCCTGCCTTGGAGTTCCCAGCATGTGCATTTTGAGTGTGCTTCACTGAGTCTTTGGTGTGTATCATTTTGTGCATATGAAACCTTTTAAAGGGCGAGTCCCACAACAGAGACAGTTGGGTCAGAGGGCACGCACCCTTGCTTTTTAATGGCTGTCACTGTCTTGTGTGACACCATACTTGTATGACCACCATATTGTTGTTGGGGTTCTACCAGATTATTTGCTCACCCACAGTGAGTGTGACAGCTTGGACCTCTATACTCTTGCCAAGAAGCTTTTGAAAAACGTTTTTCTCTTGTAAATCTAGTAAGTGGAAAGGGCACTTTGGTATGGTTTTAAATTGGCACTTGTCTAAGACTGAATGCTTTTCTTATGCTCAGGGGCACTGTGATGGTCTTTTCTCTGCAGTGCCTATTTGTCTACAGCAAGTCTGGTTTGTTTCTTAACATTGATCTTCTTATTGACTTTCTGGAGCTCTTTTTATATGATGGATTTTACACAATTAATGTAAGGAGTTACGAACATGTTTTCCTGTGATGTATTCTTGCATGTATGCATTTGTGTGTGGGTGTGGTATGTGAGAGTTTATGTGTGTTATGGTCCATATCTATGTGTAGAGGCTATAGGGCCTCATTACTTGCTCTTGTTATTTTTTTCCAACAGGCTTTCTCACTAACCCTGGAGCTCACAAACGTGGCTGGGTTGGTTGGTCACTGAGTCTCAGGGATCTGCCTGTCTCTAGCCCTTCCGTGCTGGAGTTATAGATACATGCTGCCGTCGCTCTGGGCTTGTATGTGGTGCTAAGGATCTGAATGCTCGTGTGACAGGCACATTCCTGACTGAGCCACCTCTCTAGTCTCCCTATGACGTATTCTTTCAGAACCATTGTTGGAGCTATCTTTTTTTTGTATAAATAATTAAAAGGTATATCTGATATTTTTCAGGAGTATTGTCTCATGTCCGTCTTACTTATCACCGATGGGAAGACACACAGTGGCAAGAAAGTGAACTTAGGATCTTATTTGTTTTTGTTTTTTTCCTGTTTGCAGTAGCTGAATTCCATGCATGCATTTCCTCTGACAGATAACCATTCTGCTCTCAGAATCCTGAAGCAATTGCTGCTTTTGGACTTTAGAACTTTATTTATTTTTATTGATGCCATAACTATTTTTAAAATCTTCCTTATTAGTTTCTTTGGACTTAAAATATGCTGCTTATAGCTTAAAACTTAAAAAAAAAGCTAGTTTATTTCTTCTCCAATGAAATAAGACCTTTGTTTTCATTCCTTTGTTTTTTCCTCTTCTGCACCGCAGACAGTATTTCGCTGTGTAGCCCTGCATGGCTGTCCAGGAATTTGCTCTGTAGACCAGGCTGGCCTCGAACTCACTGAGATTCTCCTGCTTTTGCCTCCTGAGTGCTTATAGACATGAGCCACTACTGTCCAGTGCTTTTTTTAAAAAAAAGATTTATTTATTTATTTATTTATTTATTTTATGTATATGAGTACAATTCAGATATACCAGAAGAAGGTGTCAGATCCCATTACAGATGGTTGTGAACCACCATGTGGTTGCTGGGAATTGAACTCAGGACCTCTGAAAAAGCAGTCAGTGCTCTTAACCACTGAGCCATCTCTCCAGCCCCAGCTTTTTTAAAAAATAAAAACAGGTAATTACTCTGTTACCCAAACTGATCTTAAAACTAAGATAATCCTGCCACCTCAGCTTCCAAAGCCCTAAGACTCGGTGTGAGCCATTATTCCTGGTTATAGATGACCTCATTTGGTTCTTTAATTTTCTGTGTCCTGGGAATGCTAACGCTTTTGTCTTCTATGAAAAAAATATGAAGAAGTCAATATGTTAAACATATAATGAGCTGTAGAATTCGACCCTGTCTCAAGAACAAGCACATAAAACCCCCCAATTTTAGCAAAAGCGAAGGGCGCTTCATTTATCATTGCTGCTGTTCTCTTCTTGTGGAAGTTAACTTTGTAAACATACAGTTCACCTGAGTTAATACCTAGTGCTTATAATTGCTTTCAGGGTTTTGAATTTGACTCAGGAATTCTGACACTCACTACCTGCCCGTGATCTATGACAGTAAGGCTGTGCACTGGAAAGCCGGGATTGAAACAGGTTAGATTAGCTCTAGTATATAGTCAGCAAACATTTGGATAGCCGTTTTGAGGAAGTATAATTCACTTTGTGATGGTCTGGCTGGGACATTGTCATTGTGGATGGGAGAGACTTAGTGTCCTCATGGATTTGGATAAAACTGGGCCTTGAGGAACAGAAGGGGTTTTAGTAGATCTTGGACCAGGATAACTGTCTAACTGTAAGGAATATACCCAGTGAAAGAAAGACATCTTTAAAGGCATACTCAGAATTTCATCTATAAGTCAATCTTGTAGAGAAAAAGCACCAAGGTTTTGACTAGGTGCTGTGGGAATACATTTGGGGTACAGTGCTTGCCAGAGATGCTATGTTTAGTGATTGAACTTAATTTTTCTTTAAGGACAATACAAAAAAATGTCCTGTGAAGTGTGCATAAATATTAAAATAATAAACAAATTGGTGATCACTTATTCCTACCATGGACAATTCATTGCTGTGAAGAGGCGCCATGACCACGTCAACTCTTACATTTAATTGGGGCTGGCTTACAGTTTTAGAGGTTCAGTCCATTATCATCATGGAGGGAAGCATGGCAACTTGCAGGGAGACATGATGCTGGACGAGAGTTCTACATCTTGATCTGAAGGCTTCCAGAAGGAGGCTGTCTTCTGTATTGGGCAGATCTTGAGCACTAGGCACCCTCAATGCCTGCTTACACAGTGACACACTTCCTCCAACAAGGCCACACCTCCTGATGGTGCTACTTCCCACAGGCTGAGCTTTCAAACATATGAGTCTGTGGGGGTCAAACCTATTCAACACACCACAGATAACTACACAGCGCTGAAGATAAACATGGATGAACTTTACAAATGTAGTTTGGGATAAAAAAGCACAAAGTGACCCTGCAGGGCCACTGGGTCTTGCAGTGTTGCAGAATGACTTAAGTTAAAGTTCAAAGATGTGTGTGGAAGGAAAGCAGACTGATTTAATGACATGCTTGGGAAATAAGACCCCAAACATCGTGTTCTTTTGCATACATATTCTTATATATGATCTACTTAAGAAAAATGCTAACACGTGAAGAAGTGCCAAAAATAGATGTTTAGTCATATCATGGTGAAGTAAGATTAAATGTAGGCTGCATATAATGCCAGTCTTTAGAATCAAGGTTTCCACAATGAAAGTGAACTGGTCCACAGTTCAGTAGTCCTGGGACTGACTGTGCCAGGCTTCAGAATACACGGTCTTACCCATTTAACTTGCAAGAAACACATT